CCCCCCAGTCTCTAGCACATCCCCGGGGACTCTGTCTGCAGGGAAACACTTACATTTCCTCCAGACAGCCGACCTGCAGCTCCTCTTCAGCCACATTCTCCGACGCTTCTGCCCGGGGAAAGCAAGCTCCGCCCCCTGCACGCACGTCTGAGGAAGGTTCCAATAGCGGGCAGGGGGGGCTCGGGACATGCCAAATTGTACTAGTCATCATTTCATAATAAAAAGTTATAGCTTGGAGCCCGGCCGCAGCGGCCCCCTTCTTCCTTGCTGGGCCCCCCCAAGTGGCGGAATGCCAGGGCCAGGTCGCAATTGCGACCGCTGCGACCCTGGTAGTTCCGCCAGTGCATGAGGGGTTGATATATCAGCAAGTGGCAAAACTGCTGCTTCTTACCCATGAAGATTGTCCAGCATGTGGGCAGAAAAATTCCACATTCAAGTGATGATTCCTCATTTTCTTTTCAGAAAGCCAGCCACCTCTCCACTAATTGTCCAAACCTATCAACATTTGATCTACATCTCTGCAATCATAATGAATGAATGCGCCCATTGATTTTGAAAGAAAGTTTCCAAAGCAACAGATAAACTTTTTAGAAAGCTTTAGTGCCCGGGTGGGGGTACAGGGCCCTGTGATTTCTAATAAAGACTGTGACTGCATGTAACACAGAGGCATTCAATGTAATACTAAAGCATGAGGTACTGCACAAGTGTGAGATATTATAAGTAATAGAAAGGCATAGGGCACTGTGTGTGTGTGTGTGTGTGTGTGTGTGTGTGTGTGTGTGTGTAAGAGAAGCACGCTGTGGAACAACTCTGTTTTCCTCAACACCGCGCCCTTGCAATATCAAGCTGTATCTGAAAAAAAAGTCAAAGCAACTGGACTTTTTCTTAAAGAAAAATAATAATACTGCAAGTAAAGTTGCTTTGACATTTTTTACAGATATACCATGACCTGGAAGAATGAGACCCTTCACAGACAATATCAAGTTGGATCACCCAGTGATGAAGCAACATAACTGGTAAAAGTGTTGACACCCACACACACACACACCATATACAGAAGTTGACTTGCAGCACATAGCAGCAGCTTTGTGACATAACACTGGTCTTTTTTTGTTTAAAATGTACTTTATTCCAGTCCTAGTCAGTATTCTCATATAATAAAGATGGGCAAATTACTAGAGATGCGCCGGTTTTTCGGTATGAAGTAGCAATTTTGTTTTCCAGTACTCACAGATATTGAAAATCCCATTCAAGGAAGCCAGGCGGTGTGTAATGACTCGCTGGCCGGCTTCCTGATTAGCCGTCTCCATGCTCCCTCATCACCAGGTGACGGAGCATGGAGCCGGCTTTCTGACCAATCAGGAAACCGGGCGGCAAGTCATACACAGCCGGGAAGCCAGCTCCGTGGTGACGAGGGTGCATCGAGCCGGCTTCCAGTCCGATCAGTGTTTAATGACTTACCGCCGCCTGGCTCCCTGATATCGACAGTTCAGATATTAGGAGCATTTGGGCGAGTACTCGCCCAAATACTCTGTATTGGTGCATCCCTACAAGTTACCCATTTCACTTCATATATAATCTTTATCAAATTAGTTTGTTTATAACGGTAATTATGAGTCAGTCATTCAGGATGTGATATTACAATCTAATATTTTCTTCTCTCAGTATTTATTGGGGGGCACCATAAACCACCAGGTAGATTGGCCTGCCATCAGGAGGTTGAACACACAAAAAAAATGGCTCCTTCACTTAGCTATATCATAGTTTAGGCACAAACAACATTTATACAGTTGTGTGAAAAAGTGTTGGCCCTCTTCCTGATTTTTCATTGTTTTGCATGTTTGTCACACTTTGCTGTTTCAGATCATCAAACAAATTTAAATGTTAGTCAAAGATAACAAGTAAACACAACATGCAGTTTTTAAAGGAAGATTTTTATTATTAAGGGAAAACAAAATCCAAACCCACATGGCCCTGTGTGAAATAGTGTTTGCCACCTAAACCTAATAACTGGTTGGGCCACCCTTAGCAGCAAGAACTGCAATCAAGCGTTTGTGATAACTTGCAATGAGTCTGTTACAGTGCTGTGCAGGAATTCTGGTCCACTCATCTTTGCAGAATTGTTGTAATTGAGCCACATTGGAAGGTTTTCGAGCATGAACCGCCTTTTTAAGGTCATGCCACAGCATCTCAATAGGATTCAGGCCAGGACTTTGACTAGGCCACTCCAAAGACTTCATTTCGTTTTTCTTCAGCCATTCAGAGGTGGACTTGCTGGTGTGTTTTGGATCATTGTCCTGCTGCAGAAACCAAGTTCGCTTCCGCTTTTGAGGTCACGAACAGATGGCCGCACATTATCCTTCAGGATTTTTTGGTAGAGCCTGGAGGATCAGAACGCCGGAGGATCGGAGAGGGGGGGAATCCAGTCCCGCCCCTGTCACGGCTCTCTGACGTGACAGGATCGAGAAGTGAGTGTACACCGATACGTGTTCGCTCACTTCCCGATCTACTGAGCCAACCTGTGACAGTTTCATTGTCACAGGTCAGCTAGAACTATGAGGTGAGTGAAAAGCACTCACCTCATAGTTCTCCTTTAATATTAAACACTGAATAATGTGTTTACTTGTGTTATCTTTGACTAATATTTAAATTTGTGATCTGAAACATTAAAAGTGTGACAAACGTGCAAAACAATGAGAAATCAGGAGGGGGTGGGGGGCCAACACTTTTTTCACACAACTGTATATGGTGCATAGCCAAAACTTACATAAAGTTTGTCAACCTAAAAGGGGAGAACAAGGAAATAACCTTGGGCAAAGTCTTGGACCAGTTTGCTCCCAGTAACATGAAGTTACCTTATAGGATAGTGCTATTATCCTCACTGAAGTGATGAACACATACTGGGACTCTTAATGATGCTGGAGACCTGATTCTAAGAGCACCAGACTGAAGCAATCTAAAGACTCGTCTGATGCTGGGCACACACCTTACAACCATCGCATCTGCCTTGCATAGGCAGATCGTACTTGCGATGATCACAAGCCACGCCCCCTGAGGGGCAGGATTCCGATTACCGCAATGCCTAACGGGCAGTGTGCGCTTGCGCACACCGGCCATCCGGCTTTTATCTTACGAACATGCTACACACCCGCCAAACATCGTACGATGCTCGGCGGGTTTTCAAACATGTTGGTAAGTTAAAAGTCGTGCGACCTTACAGTAGTAGAGGTCGCACGGCTTCCACACACCTTACGATAATCATACGATCGCGGGATTTCCCACGATTATCGTGGTGTGGGCACCCTGACTCAAGAACTAGGGCTGTTCCTTGTTCTTATTCTGTGTTAGTGTTGTAACTTTGGAAGACTAATTTCTTCACACTACAGATGTTAACAAGGGCGTGGTTTAAAAACAGCTTTACAAGATAGAGTCTGGGCACAGGTTCACCTTCACACAAATATACCATATGGGGGGGCAAAGGTTCCAATTGATCGGCAGCACGGCATCACCCTACAGATTTTAGCAGGCAAATATTACCACCTCCGGAGGATTTTAAAGTTTGCTTCAACCACAGCCACATTTTCAGGCAGCTATCTAGACTTGACTCCTTTCTTGCTGTGATGATTTATAACCTACTCTATCACAAACAAGACATTTTAGGTTGAAATAGTAAAAATTAAACTACAGATTCGACTCTGAAGGTAGCAGTACCTTGCAAATTGTGTTATTGCACCAAGATCTGTTTTGCTGTGTAGAAAGAGAAATGGTGGATTTGTATACGTCTGAAGCTTTCATTAGAAGAAACTCCAGCAGGGAGTTGAATGATATCATTTGTTGTGATCATACCTTTGACAAAAGTTTCTAGAGTCAGAAATGGGTAAAGAATAGTTAGATCTGGGAGAAGACGAGGAAAAGAAAAAACACCACACAGGATGGCCTGGGAAGGCTAACAGACTGGTATGATTTTGCCAGAATATCCCAAAGTTTTAGAGAATGTTTTGTCTGAGGGACTATTCCATGGACTTGTCTTCAGGGCAATACCTCTGCTATTCAAGAGTACCATTAAGTGGGCTCATGCCATATAATGAATAGTACAGCAGCCAAAGTTTCACCAAAATGATTGACAGCAGCCAAATATTACTTTAATAGCAACTTTTTCACTCTTATGTAAACAAAGTACAACCAGGCCTTGAATGCTGCTTTTCTTGCTCTTTAATAAGCACAGAGACATGAAACTTCTCGTTCAAGTAGTGCTCATTCACTGGCAGTAGCAGTAAATTTATACAAACAAAAACAGCTGAAAGAAAGAAAGAAAACAAAAAGCCCTGACTCAGGAGCTGAAACCATTGGAAACTCCAAGGAGCATAAACTCCCATAAAAAATGAGTTCCTCATCTTGAGGTTATTTTAACATAAAAGATAAATGCGGCTTTGTAACAGCTTTACTGTAACAGGCGCTACCAGGTTATTTAATGCTGAGATTTTGCATTGCTTTAGCAGGATCTAGGGGATCACATAAAGGCAGGTTCCCCACATCTGACACTGATTTGGATGTTTTAGTGGATTTCTTTGGCTTGTATCCGGACAAGCGGGAAGCAAGACTTCTTTTAGGGCGTGGCTTCTTCTGCAGATAAGAGACAAGTTCATTAATGTCAATGCTACAAGGAGGAACACAAAAACTGAGGTCATGGTACAGCATTCTGTACTCTGCAGAAAAACAAATGCTCTGTGACCGTGTTATGGATGCACAGGGGTTTTCCTGCGTTAACCATTTCCATAAATCCCTTATAGCATATACAGAGCAAAGTGACAGTCTCTCCCTACATCCCAGCCCTCTTGCACTGCCCAACCTTCCCAGCAATTACCAATTAACCAACCCCCCCCCTCCCCAGCATCATCTAACCTGACAATTTACCAATACTTTAGTGCAGTAATCAATGCCATTTTGGGCCCCTTCGCACCTTTGCTGTGGATTGCAAAAAACAAAAATTAACAGTGCCTTAGGCTGGGTTCACACCTAGGCGTATCGAATATGCGCGTTTATCGCGTGTTTCGCAATGCATGTTTTACCGCGATGCGCAGTGACAACGCGCGTTTCCGAGGGCTACTTGGCTGTATCCCAATAGAAACGCACGACAAAAACGCCCCAAAGAGGCTCCTGTACTTCTTTGGGCGTAGGACGTTTTGTAGCGCGTTCATACGGCCTGTAATACGCCCAGGTGTGAACCATACCCATGGGAAATAATGGGATTTCGGTGTTTGAGCGTTTTGCAGAGCGTTCGAACGCGCTACAAAAAACGCCCAGGTGTGAACCGGGCCTTAAGGCAGCCCTGGAATTTTGATGAGCTGCCAACTCATCCAGGCACATGTAAAAGTCTCACCTGCAACCCTCCCTTCCCTCATGCTTTGTTGTGTGCCGCAACATGCTATGCTTGTTGTCTTGGTGCATTGGAGTGCCACAGCAAGTGATGGCACAGCAACACGCCAAGCCATGAATAGTGCATTACCACAACCTGAATGGGTGAAAAGGGCTTTAAGGACCTGTATATGCTTAACACAGCAGCCCATTAACCCATATCAAATTAGAACTAACTTGACTGAACTCAGACAAATACAAGGATGCTGGCTAGTTGCTATGAGTACTGCACTTTGCACAATTTGTTAAATGGTTGAAATGTAAATTGCTCACCATCTTTTTCTTCTCAGGATCATGGGTATTGGCATGTCTATCAAGGCTTTGCTGTAAATGGCAAGAACACATTTGAAATCAGCCCATTTATGTCTTGGTGCTCGTGACCTTTAATAAATGTTCATTTTATTGATTGCTACACAACACTGCAGTATGGACCAAAGTGAGCTCCTTGATTACACTGGCCAAACATGGGTAATTGTTTTTTTGAAAATATGAAACACTTGTGCATTAGGCACTTTCTTACCTTCATTGTAAATGTTTTGCCGCATCCAAGATGCTCACAGGCAAAGGGGCGCAATTCCTCATGGAAGGAGAGGATATGACTCTGGAGGGCAAACTTTTTGGTATACGTTCGATCACAGTCTTCCCTGGGGCATCTGTATACTATCCTCTCTTCATGAGTTTTCTTATGATCCTTTAGGTGAGTTTTTTTCTTAAACGTGCGATTACAAACATCGCAGATGGCTGGCTCTGTACAGCAAGCAAAAGTTGCATAAAAAAAAAGTTTTCCCCATCACACAAAAATCTGTCTTCTAGTCATTAGCAGTTACCTGCAGCAAGAGTCATTGCTTCCACAGGCCTCATTTAGGGGAGCTTTTTCACACCCAGGATACACAACTGGTGTGTACTGCAGACCACAGACATGAGTGGCTGAGCACAGCCGTATGTGGATATATGCTGGTACTTGCGCAAACCCGGACATGCCCCCTCCTGCCCCACAAAAAAGTGAGCCGGCCGCAATGCGATGCAGTGCGTTCTTGCTAGAATCGGGCCGGAACCTTGCCTTATTGATATTTCTAGAGCTCTTCATTTATACACATTTTTTCATGTCCCATTGGTATATATTTAGCATCATGCAATTTCAACTCTATTTCTTGTAAAATACAATCACAGCAGTTTTAGACTGTTGCTATTGAGCAAGAAGAAAAGCAGTCGTGTTTCTGCTGCAACACTTCCCCCCCTGGAATAAAAAAGGTAACCTTTCTTCACCCTAGATCCCAAACTCTACCACAATATAACCCCTTCACAGCAGCCATGTGCAAAAATGGTTGAAGTGTTAGAGGGGCTTAAACTTTCTGGCATTATAGATTTAGTAACTGTACACAGAATTTACCTGAATGAATAGTGGCCACATGTTTCATGTACTCTGTCCATGTTTTCCCCACAAACGGACAAGTGCTATCCTTTTGGCATGGATAACCTAGAAACAGAAATTACAACAGAAATCAGCTAAGTGATAGAAACACAGCTATAGAAGCCATCTGTCAGCAGGTAAGTGGAACACAGCAACTATAGCAATTACGGTCAGCTTTGTAGAGATTAAAAGAACATTTATATTCAGCATTAGCACAAGAACAGTATTACTAGACCACCAGAAAACATCTACAATGAGATATTCTCCATATCAGTAGAAGTACTGTACCTGCATGAACTTTTTCATGGCGTTTAAGTCGAGAAGGGGAGGAGAAGCTTTTGTCGCATCCTTCATTAGTACATCTATAACCAAAAAAAAGCCAAGTAAAAGTTTAGACCTTGCATTGTTTGCTGGATAGCATTATCAGTTTTAACTTTGTACATTCTTGACATTTCTTCTGGCAACGTTTCAAGTCAGAAAGTCCACTCACTTTACCCAACCAGAATTTTAAAGTATCTATAACTTATTTTTAGATCCATCTGTTATGTGGTTTCACCTCCATTACAGTATGGTGATAGCAAGGGGAAAGCACACCAAGAGCATAAACAGCAGAAGAACCAGACATGGGGTCCAATGCTATAGAATCCCAATCCTACAGAACAGTGGCTTAGTGGTTAGCACTTCTGCTTTGTAGCAAGCCAAGGACACTGCATTGTGTTTGCATAGGTTTCCTCTTACTCCCATTTCCTCCCACTCTGAAGACATGCTGGTAGATTAATTGGCTCCTGTCTAAGTTGGCCCTAGGATTAACAGTGTGTGTATGTGAGATGGGCATCTTAGATTGAAAGTTCCTTGAGGGCATGGACTGATGTGAATGTAGAGTATGTAAAGCCATGAGCATCTTGTCAGTGCTATACAACTGCCTGTAAAAAAAACAAAAAACTTAATTGGTGATAAAAAATGTTGGATTTTGAACACAGTCTGGTACACAAGCTGAATGCTGGAGTGAAAATCTGAAATCTAATACTACAGGTAACTGTCTCTACAAGTCTATTTCGCAGCTACGTCATTAAAGTCATCTGCAGAGTAGAATTTCATTTACAGTCCCTTCCTAATGAAGCGTGCAAACCCAATACACCAACCACACTGGTTTTTAAAACTCCAAGTGAACATCTTTGATAGTATGATCCCAAAATGTAGGAAGAAAGCCAGGTTTACAAGAACAATCTACAAGTATGAGCTTTACACAAATTTCACAACTTCCATCTCATCAATTCATATTGGCAAGCATGACAATTTGGGAGCCAACACCAAGTCTTTAAGATGCCACTAGCCCTCAAGGACAGACTGCCAACAGCACAAATGTATAAGCAAGTTTTCAGATGCATCATTCCATTCTAAATTCAGTATGGAAAAACCAACATCTCTGGTACCATGTTACATGGGTCCTACAAATGTAAAGGCTGAGAAGTGCAGCAGAGTTAATGCTCTCCTATTTAGGACATTTTGTTAAAAAGTTAGTCTAATAGAGACTTAAAGTGTGCAAGAAAACCAGTAAATTTAAACATGCATAGTTTATTCCTTACAGAGTATTCCAGGACAGCTCAAAGTTAATGGCTCTCCCACCCAACAGGTAACAAGCTACCATAAAGTTTAAAGCCTCCCCTAAACATTGATTCTTCAGAACATAATGAGATGTTACACATCTATGAAGAGGCTTACTAAAATGTGAATATAAAAGCTTTGATATACATTGCTACAGGGAAGTACAGCCATGCCACTGCTTGCCAGTTACCCTGTTGCCAAGGTGGTGCACAAATCCCAGGTGCCAGGTTTCCAATGCGACCAGAAATTGCATCCTGGCACCTTGGCATGTCAGCCTATTCACTGCACATCCGTCCCGGCAATAACTCTGCCCAGTCTCCCCGCCGCAGACTTCCAACGATTTCTCATTACAGGCTGTATCAGAGGGGACAGATAGCCTATTACAGCCTGTAAGGAGAAACCGCCTCAATAGCCAGCCTGCTATTGGCTCTTTTAAATTGCTGTAGCCAATAGCAGGCTGGCCATCGCACCCACCCAGTCTGATGTCAATCAGCAGAGGATGACCTGAAGGAGAACTTTACTCCTTCAGGTACCTCCTCTGCTGATCGACAGCAGGCAGTGGGTGGGTGCAATAGCCACACTTATTGGCTACTGCAATTTAAAAGCCAATAGCAGGCTGGCTACTATGAAACAGAACACCCCCCCTCCCCCACCCCACACATACAAAAAATTAAAGTCAACTAAACTAAGATTCAAAATCCCCCCCCTCAAAAAACAAAAAAAACCTTACTCCTAACTGTTAGCTAGCTCCTAGTTTAAAGCCCTGCATTCTACCATGAAAAAGACACCAGCCGTGGATGCGTGAGGCTTTCAGACCTAGTGTTTTCTGTCATTCACCCATCCTGGAAAGTAACTGAAAAAGTCACTCTAAAGTTCTTAAACTGGAAACAAAAAGGTGAGCTAAATAGCCAGCTATGCATTCTAGGTAAACAGAAACTTACTTGTATGGATGCTGGTTGGTATGGATGTACTGATGAATTTTTAGTTGATTGTGTTTCTTGAAGGTTTTGCCACAATCTGCAAAGTAACACTGAAAGAAAAAAACACTTCGAGTACACAAATGTAAAGTACAAACCAGCATGTTCACTATATCAAGAAATGCGGTATTGGCTTATTCAGGTGATCTACACAGTAGTTGAATATACCATATGCACATATGGCTTATAAAACCTGCAGTTTAGAAGGCAAGGGTGGCTACAAAAAAAAGGTGTGGGCTATAATGGGGGCTGGAGGCAGAGTCATAACCTCTGTTCATAGTTGCAATAACCTTATGGCTGCTGTTATACACCAGATCACTAAGCAGAGCAAGATCTTCTCAGATAGAGTTTCTGAAACCAGTCAGTTTTCTTCCCAGTATGGTGCAATGAATAATACAGGATCTTTACCAAGTCTGACCGCCAAAACCATTTGCAAGGCATGCTGTGACTCAGATGCTGGTAAATACTAGTTGTCGATTGGGAGACTACCTCCAGGCGCCCAGCTGCTGCAAGTAATTCTAAAGTAGGCTAGACACTGAATTTCAGCCAGTTCTATATGGATCGGCTGATATTCACACAGTGGGTGCACCTGTCGGCACCCTTCTCCCCGGCATCCTGCAGTCAGCTGACCAAAGGAGAAGGTTGGAAAATTCACAGCCGAACGGAGCTTGCAGCCAACCAGTTCGTTCAGGTATTCTGACAGCAGCCACTGGCGATGGAAGCAGCAGGGTATTAGTCCATCCATGCTTGTAAGTGTTGAAGGAATCAGCGTGCAGGCTGAACAAAGAAAATATAACTGTATATATCCAGCTTTAGTCTAACCTCCGTCAAAGCTCATGCATGGACACCTTGCTTGCATATGGCAATTTCCTGGAACCGCCAGCAAAATACACTGAGTGGCAAGATTATTATGACCACCCCATCAGCACTTTGTTGGGCCACCTTTTGCCTTCAATACTGCGGCGATTCTTCTTGGCATTGACTCCACAAGATGTTGAAAAGTGATGCGAGGAATCTGACACCATGCCTGATGAATAGCACTGTCCAGTTCTGTGAGATTTGATGGTTGTGGAACCAGCTGCCTGATGGCTCTTTCAACTTCGTCCCACAAATGCTCAATTGGATTGGGATCTGGTGATTGTGGGGGCCACCTAAGCAAAGTAAAGTAAAGTCTCCCTCATGTTCTTGAAACCACTCCTGCACAATACGAGCACCGTGGCATGGCGCATTGTCTTGTTGGAAGAAGTCATCTCCATTGGGATACGCCATCAACATGATAGGATGAACTTGATCAGCAACGATACTTTGGTATGTTGTGCTATTCAGATGTTGTTCCACACGAATTAAAGGGCCAAAATCATGCCAGGAAAACATGCCCCAAACCATAACACTGCCGCCATCAGCTTGAAGGGTTGTACTCATGCATGTGGGGTGCATGATTTCATGCTGTTCCCCACAAATTCTCACTCTGCCATCTGCATGATGCAACTGGAAACGTGATGCATCAGGCCACATTACTTTTTTTCCAATGCTCGACTGTCTAATCCTTGTGTTCCTGTGCGAATTGGAGACGTTTTATCTTGTTAACTGCAGACAGCAAAGGTGTTCGAACAGGCCTTCGGCCTCTATATCCCATACGATGCAGTGCACGGCAAACAGTGCGTTCAGACATCATTTGAGAAGATCCCTGATAAAGATCTGCAGTAATTTGATGCACTGTTGCCCTTCTGTTGTCTTGTACCAGTCTTACCACTCTCTGTTCTGCCCTAACATTGACTAGTCGCTGACGGCCACAATTCGCACGTTCAGACCCAGATTCTCGGCTGACAGTCCAGTCTTTAACACTTTAACAACAGCTGCTCTTGAACATTTAACAAATTCTGCTGTTTTGCTGATACTCGCTCCATGGCTCCGAGCGCCAACAATCATCCCACGTTCAAAGGCTGTTAATCGTGTTGTTTACCCATATCTTCAGAAACAAAATCACTTCTGTCGTGGTAAACAACCTGCTTCCCTATTTATAATGGTCTGGCCCTGTAGCAACTTCAGCGTGAAATTATAGCTAATTTGCCTCCAAACGTCAGGTGGTCATAATAATCTGGCCACTCCGTGTATATTCAATAGGTTTCAAGCAAACTATGTTGGAAAGCACAAGTCTAGGATGCTAGTTTCATTTTATTCCTATCTATAGGAGAGTATTGTGCTGCGAAGACAGTCAGATGTGAGCAGTGGATCGCCGATCCACTACAGCTGTAGTACTAAAGTTCCAGAATTGTCCATTTAGGCATAAAGCAAGCCAAGCTCCATCAGTTAACCCTTGAAAAAAGCCCTGCCTAAGCAAACACCATAAGATGCCTTTCACTGCCTACATTCAATCAGAAAAGCCTCTTCTGTGTCCCTCTGATTTAGTTTTACTGTTGCAAGGCCTGATTATTCCCGACATTATGGCCAAGCTCTACCAACTGCCATCCCCCCATTCAATGAGTGGTTCAGTAGATGGCAAGATGATAAAGGCAGATCAGAGCAAACTAGAGCAGGACAGGGCACAGAAGAGGCATGATGAATAGACAAGACATCTTGTGTTGTGTGCTATGGAACAGAAAACATTTTAAAGTTTTTAAAATGGAGTACAGGTTCACTTTAAAAGAACTCACATTTACATATTGGTTCAAAATAGCATGTAGTTTAATGCTGCCGACAGAATCTTCCCATAATCCATTGCACTCTATAAAATCAGTAGGAATGCCAGTAGTGAGAAATTCATTTCCCAGCATGCTTATTTTTAAAATGTTTCAAGCACTGGGGGCTGATTAGGTGTATAGGACAACTTGCATGAGAAGCAGGCATGGAGAACTTAAACATTCACAGCCCAATAAAGCAAGGGGGAACACTGAGCATTTTTTTTAAAACACAAGATAGAAAACTACTTTATATAGTTTTAAAATTTGTCTTCAGATTGCATAAAAATATTATATATATATATATAAACACAAATACATGATAATTTGTGCAAGACAAGAAATCCTTGTTTGTCAAAACATAATGAACATAATGGCTGGATAAATAGCAGAAATGTAAAAAATGCTCCATAGGGAGTGTACAGAGGTGAGAGCTGAAGTGGTTAACATTTTTCATAGCCTGGTTCTTGGAGCTCCAGAGAGAATCTGAAGACTAGCAGCCATATTTGCACTTCAGTATTGAAGTCAGATTCCACTTCTTTACTAGAAATGGGTATGGATCAAAGTCAAGATACTAGAACCAGAAGCCACACATGGCAAAGAAACCAAGAGGAGATCAGTCTACTGGACCCAGTCAACATTTTTACAGTTTGTCAATCATGTCTAATCTGCTGCCATTTGTCTCTGATGGACTTTACAAGCATGGACATGACAGGTACACTAAAGGCTGGTGGACATCATATTATTCTTACCATATAAATAAGGCTTGGAGACAGATGAGCCCGTTGATGATGTCTCCTCATATTTCCCATTGTGGTAAATGACAAGTCACAATCTGGAGCCTCACACCTGAAAGAAAAATTATATACTAGGAGTGGTAGTTGCACATGCTTGCGGCAGCTGAGGTTTTCATCTACATCATCCATGAAAGCCCTTCAATCCTATGTACAGACAGTCCACCATTTAGGTGCAGGTACAGTTTGCTTTAGGCACGAACACTTGGTATGAGGCAATAATCAATTTCCCATAGTAAATAAGCCTTGAAGCTGAAAGGATCAAGACTTACTAAACCTATTGACAGGTTAAATTATAATTAGGCCAAAGGTTTCAGGAGGAACTTCAGACAAAAAAATAAATAATGAATATTGGCAGAACCCCACCATCCCACAGGCTCTATCCCAAGCATAATGGCCAGTCTACTGAAACCATTCCTCCTGCTGGTCATGCACCCAGCCCTTGACAAAAACCCATGTACAACACAGGATTAGTGGTCCTCCAATGCAGATTAGGTTGAGGGCCTGCATTCTGGTTGAGACGAAGAGCCCAGAGCTCCGGTTGCTTTGGGACAAAGATATAAGCCAATTACTTGTATACATACATTATGTATGAGGGGGTCGGGGGCTGCCAACATTTTTAGTTCAAGTCTGGAGTTGATCTTTAACAAATGAGTTAGCATTTGGATAGGGTTCACTTGAGAAATTCTAGTTCATTTTCAGTAATTACACATTTTGGAGGTATTGCTGACCTCTAGACCCAATCTATAGACCTAAATGTTCTTTAGGATAGAGCCCCCAACCCTGACCTATACACAATGTTCTTTAGGTTAGAGGGTGCCATTATAATCTATACACCTATGTTCTTTATAATAGATCTAGAGCCCGATCTGCAGATATAACATACTTATATAGAGTCCCCAAAATTGTGAAAATCCCTCTCCCCAGGCTTCAGGCTACAAAGTACCCTTGCAGCGATCTGAAACCTCCATAGTAATCCTCAAAGCCTTTTCTTGCATTATTGATCATTTCCACACGTTTCCTTGAGCACTTACTTGCAAGGCTTTTCTCCAGTATGAGTCATAGTATGACGGGTCAGATGAAACAAGGTCACAAAGCCTTTGCCACATCCTTCCACTGTACAAGGAAAGGGTCTCTAGGGACAAAAGAGAAGCCACATTAGCAGCACATAGGCAGTTATACTAAAGAACCACACTGATATTGCCATCAGACACTTGAGGAAAGTCATTTAAAATGTCGTATGATTTGAATAACGGATCTGGGAATGAATGGTGGATCCCTGAACAAAAAATACATTGGTGGAATTTCTTTCTAGGAAAAAACTTTCCATCGTTCAAAATGTGTTTCCATCCTTCCAATTTTTTACTTGGTCACTGAAAGCGACTGATTTGACCCCATTAACTATTTAGAAGAATTGGACAATTTTCCAGACAAAAAATTCTACTGGTGGATCTTTAGAACGCCGTCACCGGAACACATTTTCCCCCATGGAAGAGTCCCCCTTTGCTTTCAATTCAGCCGATAGAAAGTGATGGGAATGGCAACATTGTAGTTATCAGGATAAAGGTGAACCTTCCCAGCTAGGACACAGCAATAGAACCTTCAACCCTTCTCTAGCCCAAACAATAAAATGGCTTTAGATCTACTTTAAGCCACTGACCTGGCCACATGCAGACATCTGATCATTCATCTATGGAAAGACACCCCAATACTCTGAAGCAGAAGATCCTCCCTAAATAAGCATTCACCTTATCCTGACAGATGACTGGACCCAATGGGCGGCCATAATGATATCAGATCACAGTGTCAAAGCTTGCTGTAATAACCAAACCCCTCCCATTACCATGACTGGCAGCACCAATAACCAATAGGAGTGTAAAGGCAGAAAGGCATGGGCAAGCCTCAGAGTGACAAGGGAGTGCTGATACTTTGCCCGATCAGAACAAACCGGCATTCATGCAAAGCAGCGGATGATGAAAGCCAACTGCTGCCGGTATGAGCGCCTCTGAGTACTGGCACCTCATACCTGGCAGCATCTTTCTGCAATCTTACAGTAACCATGGCGTCATTATTATAGATGGAAGAAAAAAAAAAAAGGGGGAGGGGCGGGGGGGTTTGAGCAGTGAATCAAATGATATTTTAAACATTCATCGAGGTCTCTGAAGACATTATAACATCAGATCATCAGTGTGAACATTCTACCAGTGAAAATCTACCAGTGTGTGACCTGGCTTTAAAATGTACACATCAAAGTCAGAAAAGGTCATCAGACATGTCCAGACAACAATCCATGCCGTACAGACATACCAGAGCACTGGGCAGGGACATCCTACACAGCACAGGCTGAGCACTGACAGTGACCGGGGACATCACATACACAGCACTGACTGACAGTGACCGGGGACATCACATACACAGCACAGGCTGAGCACTGACAGTGACCAGGGATATCATACACACAGCGCAGGCTGAGCACTGACAGTGACCAGGGATATCATACACACAGCGCAGGCTGAGCACTGACAGTGACATGATACACACAGCGCAGGCTGAGCACCGACAGTGACCGGGGACATCATACATACAGCACAGGCTGAGCAGTGACAGTGACATCATACATACAGCACAGGCTGAGCAGTGACATCATACATACAGCACAGGCTGAGCAGTGACATCATACACACAGCACAGGCTGAGCACTGCCAGTGATCACGGTGCAGGCAGTACCACGTGTCTCACCTCCCCAGTGTGCTTGCACAGATGGGCCTGCAGCTTCCAGGTCTTGTTATACGAAGCACTGCATTCCGGGAAGGAGCAGATATACTTCTTATAGACAGCCGGCAGCGCCTTCTCCCCCATTTTCCTCACCCGGCCGCACCGTACCGGCTTCCCAATCTTAAGACTACCAACTCTGGCAGCCACAGACACCGCCATTGCCCGGCTTTACTACACGCTGGCTTCAACCATTGCCGGGTCTCCTGATAGGGGGCGTACCCGATACATATAGTACAAAAACAGCTGCAATAAACCACAAACTGAAATTATTCCGTTATGTATACCATAGACAATAACATTTGACGTGAAGTGACTCCTTTTTCGCGGTCACTGTATTACTGAGCACCCCCGCCTGGGGACCATTCTTGGTACACTCCATATTTGGGTCACGTGCACAGCTCTGAAGTCAGGGCGCGCCATGTTGGTGAGGTGTGACGTTTCTTAGCGGGCTGGCTTCTGCTCTATTTGAGCCGGTGATCGATCAAAACTATGAACTTATCGAGTTGTGGGACCTTATTACTTCCGGTTTCCTCACAACTACAAGGTTTACTTTTCACACAAAACATGTTGTGCACACATCACCGGTCACTGATGCATTGCATTCACAATTTCACATCTAGGCGACACCTGCTACGCGCATCTTACCTGCGTTTTTTGTGAACGTTTTTCCGAGTAGATTGTGAGCAGATTGCATCATATTCTTCTGCATGGGCAAAAACGTGCTCACTCTGCTGAAAAATAATCACAACGCGCATTTTGCACATGAATATGTCACAATCTGCTCGTAAAAACCGCACGTTCGGTGCAAGTAGAAGGTGCAGCCTAAAATAGTGTGTCTCAATCCTTTTGGAGTCTTGGCACACTTTTAAACTATGCAAGAACCTGGGTCTAATGCCTCGTTCACGCTTTCGTATCACGCTTGTGTGCTTTTTGCTGCGTGTCAGCCCATTTATTTAATAAGCTGCCACACACGTGACAAACGCAGCACAGAAGCTCATGCAGCATTCTATATGACGCGCTTATGAAAAACGCCCAGGTGTGAATGGACTGTTAGAGCTTCATGCGTTTTTTGACCATGTGTTTGTGCACACTTGATACGTGGGCCAAAAACGCGCAATTTACCAGCTACGTTTAGGGTGCCATTGACGAGTAAGGGCACCGCAAGCGCGCCACAAGCATGCGCTGATTTCTTTAGCTGCAACGCACGGTATTGTGGTACTGCGTGTTGCGGCGCAGTTGAGCAAATTGTGGACGGAGGCGCATTTGGGGTGCCGTTCAAATGAATGGCAACGCAAAGCACCTCCTGAATTGTAATGTACGCTAGGTGCGTTGTATGGTAGTGTGAGGTAAGGTATGGAATTTAAAGAAGGTGTGACAGCAGGGTGACAGGTGGAGGGGGCAATATGATCTATGAGGGGTGTGACCGGCTATACTGGTACAGGGGTTATTAGCAAAGTGACATGTGGAGGGGGCAATATGATCTATGAGGGGTGTGATTGGCTATACTGGTACAGGGGTTATAAGCAGGGTGACAGGTAAAGGGGATATAGAATCCACAGATAGAAGGTATGGCAGTGAGCCCATCAGCAGGGCGGCGCCAGGAGGTAGTAGACACAACACCCCTCCTGCAGCAGAGGAATCCAGATTTGGGTGTGCAGAAGGGGGTGCAGTATTGAATGAGGGGTGACACCCGGGAAGGCTGTTGTGTGGGTAGACAAAGGCAACATCCCAGGCTGGAAGGCTCCTGGCTGGCGGCAGATACAGGTTATTGGGGCACCGGGAGGTGTCAAGGGCCCCTCAATCTCTCCGCAATCGGGATGATTATGATGATGAGCAGCACCAAACCTCCGCCAGAGAGAGCCACAGCCCCTGTTGGAAAAGATGAGAACTCATGGTACTGCAAATGGGCAGCGGAGGGGAGAAAAGACTCTGTGCCCGATGCACATTCTTTGTAACTGACACTTTGGGCATTTTTGCTTCATTTTGCCGCGGCACCCCTGTTGAGAAACACTGTTAAAATGGAACAGAAAGGAACTTTAAAGTGATACTAACCTTAAAAGAGAACTATGGGGTAACCTTTTTATCCCATAGTTCTCATTAGGGTCACGGGAGGACATATACTAAACTCCTTCCATGACCCATAGCTGCAGCTCGCTATATACTGAGAGCGCTGCAGCCGGGACGGATGCCAGCAATACTGTCGAGATCCACCCAGCTGGCTGATTGACAGCGGGCTCTGCCTATCTAGTCAGTACTGGAGGATCAGAGAGAGGAGGGGAGGAATCCCTGCGGGGAGTGGTGACTGAAAGTCACCGCTCTCTGCAGGGAGATGATCGGGAAGTGAGCGAGCGCTAGTATGTGTTCACTCACCTCCCGATCAATAGAGCCGACGTGTGAAAGTTTCATTGGAAATCACTCATCTCATAGTTCTCCTTTAACTACTAACAAAAATGTATCTTATTTGTGTATCACTCGGCTGTAGATCCTCAAATCATCTCTGAATTGGTGCAGACGCTGTCCTTCCTTCTGGAGGGTGGGGCTACTTTTGTTTCCCATGGTCCCTGTGTATGTTGTAATGTAGCTGCCGCACCAAGCCCACTCCTGTGATGGACTACAATCTCAATACAAATTAGTAAACTAAATGTGAGAGTGTAATCCATCACGGGAGTAAGCTTGGAGCGGTGACTACTTTACAACACACACAGGGACCATGGGGAACAAAAGTAGCCACCCTCCAGAAGGAAGTACAGTGTCGGCACCAATTCAGGGATGTTATGAGGATCTACAGCGAGTGATACACAAATAAGATACATTTTTGTTAGTGGTTAAGGGACTTGAATGTATTTTTAAGATTTAACTCCTGAGCTTAGTGTCACTTTAACATTACAAGTCAAAGCTTCCATGTGACCGCGGTTTAACCATTTTGCTACCAAAGCTATCTTTGTTGGGTTTTTTTCACACGCTAATTTGAACTTTTTGTAACCTGAAATCACCCTAAAAACCCTCAAACATTATATATTATCTGAAATCAGAGGATCCACACAAGAAAATCATGGTAGCTGCAATTTATTTAATATTAGTACAACTGTTTATCAAATCTTTATTGTCAGATACACTAACGTTACTACACACAGTACAATTTCCAAATTTTCTGTAAATTATAAAAGAGGACGAGGAGACGTGTAAATAGCTAAAATATCAAGACTTAAAGTTGCTTGTGGCTGTGATAAAGCAACAAACTATGGTACCCAAAATCTTCCATAGATGGGGGGATATGGGTGGAAGGTGTCTTGCTATCTGGGCATGTATGGCTAACAGCACCTTGCTTTGCAGAATGACCACTGTGCTGTGTTGGAGATTAATTACTTTGTTTTTCAACGGAGCCATGTGATCTTGTCAGTGCTGTCAGGTTTATCAAGGTGGGCATACTGCATCATCAAGGTCTCTCACACAGCAAAATTTCCACATGTGCTGTCCAAGACCTTCTGCACAAGGACGAGCAGGCAAGGTAAAGGACTGGCAACACAGTGCAAAAAAACAAAAAATATATCAAGCTTACTCCCATATGAAATGCCCAACACTGCTATCAGAACTGGCAAAACCACTGGGAGCCTGGTACACCTATCTACAGTCCTCTGAAGTCTCATCTGATTTGGTCTTCATAGAAGAGGTGTAACCAATAAGTCATTTCTTAGAGCTAAAAATAAAGCCAAATGACTCACCTACACATGGCAATACAAGGACTGGGTGCAGAAAAACACAGCAGTGGGCCAAAATGTTAATATCTGGCTCCCCCCAGTACTGATCCCCTCTATAAGCCCACCCCAAGTAACAATCCCCACTCCCAGCCCACTCCCTCAGTACAGACCCCCTCCTCACAGTCCACTATATGATGACATATAGCGCTGCAGCCGGGAAAGATCCCAACACCCTGCTACCTGATTGACAGCTGGCTATGCCTCTCTAGGGCAAGTTGTGCCCCTCCCCTGCCTGTCCATCCAGTCAGTGCTTGAGGAATGGAGGCTGGCAGTCACCGCTCTCTACAGGTAGAAGACTGTGGACTGTGGGGTCAGTGGTTTGTGATTGCTCAGTTTTCGAGCCACGGAGCCGGCATGTGACAGCTGCAGTGGCACAAATTGGCTCTGTGGGGATGAGTGCATTCCACTCTCCCCATACTTCTCCTTTAATCGCCTCCTGCAGTAACCAATCAACAGGACTGAAGATCACGTCTAGCCCTGTATAAAAACCCCGGGTATGGCTACAGGCATTGTGTGGGGAAGAAGAGGGTAGTGTGTGGCAGGCAGGCAGGTAAAGAGATTCACACAAATACACTTGCATATAGAAAGAGAAAGTTGCCAATATATTCACCCTGTTTGGCAGGCTAAGGCAGTGGCAGGTCACCAGTACATTAGTATGTTCAATCATTGTGTTAGGCATACAACTTCTCTTTTTTGAAAAAGCATCTTTCAAAATACCATGGATTTTCTATGAGCCCTTCAGTGCTTACAGGTGGAGCGGCTAGGAAGTACAGCAATAGTTTCAGCACAGCAGGCAACGACGCAGTACAACCGTATCGTACCACGCTGTGCCCAAAGAACTTAATGAAATGTCACTCATGACATTTCAATAACGTCCTAACACAATTAAAAGGTAAACAGTGCCGATGCGTGCATTCTACCGCAGCTGGGGTGAAAGCAGCCTCAAGGTAAGTACAAAAATCTTATTTTTGTTCATTTTAGTTTTATTACCATAATAAACACTATTCCTAAGATGATTTATTTGTATCTGTTTTATGATGGCCAATAATCCAGATTTCTGATTAAAAGGGGAAAATGCTTTGTGAGGTCTCTAGCACACTGAACTACAACACACAATGAGCAGATATCACATTAATAAAATCATTAACCTAAAATTGCAACCTTGCAGAGCTACTCAGCAGGTTAATAATATTTTTTGTTCCAAACTAATTATCCCAGTAACCTTACAAACCATTAGGCACATTTTGTCATTTTCTTCCTCTCCGTGTAATTTGGAGTCAGAGTCTGATAAAAGTACATAAATGAAACAAACTGAAGTCGTTTTTGATTTACTATGGGTGTTAATTATGTCTGTTATGAAAATAGTATTTGATATAGAAGAAAATAACA